GAGATTGGAGAAAGGCGTTGGATACCTTTCTTTTGAACTATAGAGCTACCCCTCATGCAATGACTGGAGTTTCTCCTGCCAAAATCATGTTTGGACGCAGGACGCGAGATTCGGACAAAGGTGCCTGAGATAAGTAAAACAGAGAAGTCAGAAACCCTGGATAGTGCCCTTGCTCGTGACAAGAGAAACAAAGAGAAAATGCAGCAGTACAGTGATAACAAGAATCGATCCACTCCTTCAACGGTCTCAGAAAGGGATATGGTGCTACTCAAACAGCCTAAGAGCAATAAGTTGTCAACATCCTTTGATCCCAATGGTTATCGCGTGGTCAAACGGCATGGAAGTAGTGTTCTTCTGCAGCGAGGAAACGAGCCGGCTATCATGCGTAATGTCTCATTGACTAGGAAAATTGAAAATGCCGGTGTCGAACACTTTACGGAAAGCTCCGACGAAGAAGACGAGATTGAAGGGCAACCAGTAACAGCCGAGCCTGCAGTCACTGTAAACACACGACCCGCAAGGATGCGTAGACCTCCAGCTAGAATGCAGGACTTTATAACATAAACAATTGGACTTCATATTATATACAAGCGAACTGGGTTTGACATTAGTTATGACATTTAAAATTGTGTTTTGTTCCTTTAATACAAAGGGAGAGATATAGTGTCCAGCGGTGGGCACGTGACTTTGGGATGGCGGGAAAAGCTTGCATGTGGACTTAGGGAACAGATTATATGCATGGCAGACTTTGTAGTTACAAGTACACGTTTAGATAAGTAAAAAATATAATAATAAGGGATACAAAATACACTCTGCTCCAGTCTGTTGCTCGGAATAATACTCGAGTCAGCCCGGGTTGAGAATTGCTGACCCGGGTTGGCAAAAACTTTCGTCAACCCGGGTTCATGTAAACAGAATAAAAAGATAACCACCTGTGGCGTGCTGACCCGGGTTGAAAATCAACCCGGGCTCGTGTAAAGGGGGCCTTAGTATATACCCGCTCAATGGTCAATAATCTAGATAAGCTTAGCCCAATTAAGCATCCTTATAATGCGATGATGTAGCGGTAATTTTCGAATTACGGCTGTCCTTAAATATAACAAACGACCTCATTGTTAAGATTCCAGGGTTTTGTATTAGTCGGAAAGACCCTTGTAGCGGTCAACGCGGTGGGGATTCCACTTAATTTCGAGATAGATGTTTTTTAAATTAATTAAGTGACTTATTTGATCCTGATATCCATGCAACCACATTGGTTTGAATTAAAGCCTAAACGTCCCTTCATAGTGGAAGTGTGAAGTATATTTTTTGATCCACTATTCCTAGGAATGCATGGTGAAAATTTATGCATTAGGACTGATTATACGATTACTACTGAGCATTTCTATAGTGCAAATTTACATGTAGATATGACCAAATATGTGCTTTACATCAAGTATTATTTTATCCGAGATTATTTTATCTTTACAACAATTGTGATATTATTTCTTAACTGTGTTTATCCTATAACCCACCCTGTCAACTTTCCCTGTGGGAGGAAACCGGAGCACCCGGAGAAAACCCACGACTTTCGGCAGAGCGTTGACTTTTACTCTTTTCACATGAGTCCGTAGCGAGAATCCAACCCACGAACTCAGACGTGAAAGGCACTTGTTCTGTTGACTGATTCACTGAAATCAAGCTCGTAGCTGGCTCTTAATTTCTGGGGGGGGGCACTGCAGAAAGAATGTAACAGAGGGGTTGGGATGATTTTGAATTTCGTGCTAGCAGTAATAATAACAGTAATATTAATGTACAATCAA